CAATAATCCACACGCTCCTTCCGAGCGATGCAATTCCACCTTCTAAAATTCAATTCGCCACCTCCACGGTCTGAGACTGGAGACGGGAGCGCTGTCTCACGATGTCATTTCTATCTCGTTTTTTCCCCCGTTTTCTCATTAGCCGGGCGCTCTTACTTAACGCCGTGAACTCTCACGGCCTCCCCGGATAAACTCCGAATTTGAAGCTACTTATCGCGGACTCCATTTATCCGGACCTGCGTTGATAGCCATTAAAGCGAGCGTTAATGGATTGAAAAAAGAGGGGTCAAAAGTCCGCAACCGCGACGCAACTCGGCGGAGACTCGAACGCGCGGCGTGAAAGTAGCCGGGTAGGCGGCGGGTGGCGGGCGGCGGGCGTTTGCAAACAAATTTGATCGCGGTGCGGATTGAGAAAGAGGAATAAAAATAAAGAGCTCTATGATTAAAGATAGCTCGCTCTGGTCGTAAATTCCGTCGTGGCGGAGGCATCGGTTGCCGCCTTTGGCACCCGCCAGCCACCGCTGCCAAATAACGCCGGGACGCGCGGCGGCCCGTCTCTCGCCAGAGGGCGCTTCGGATGAGAATGAGACCGGGATCCAGGGTTGTTATTCATGGGCTGCTTCATCCCTTATCATTAACTTCATTACTCTTTACACGCACTGAAAAAAAACTCCGGCTATATTACGACCAATCAGGACGGAACCTTGGATGCGCTTCGGGACTAGTTGGTCCAATCATCAATACAGTGCAACCACCTGATTTCCTGTTTCCAAACTTTGATATTTTTCCCCTATATTTTAAAAATTGCAGTTTCATACTGAATTTCAGCGCTTGGAACAGCGACAAGTTCGCTCAATAGGTTGTACATGAATCATCCTTAGGCGAGTTTACTGTAATTTTCTTCTCAAATAGTTGCGTATAAATTATAATCGGGCGCAAAGCAGCGTTGACATCCGAGTTTAACTTTTGTTTCATTAGATTAAATTGCTAGTATGGGGTCTGTAAATTACAGGGTGGTCCAAAAGTCCCGCACCTCGAGCACCAGGCATCGCCACTGTAACTTTTGAACAAATTGAGATCGAGACTTGAAATTTTGAGAGTCCTCCTAAGTCAAATGAGACGACTTTCGGGAACCCCCAAAATTCAAAAGGGACCACTCTCCGGGCTTATTTGAAATGGATAGACAAAGCTGTAGACAAAGAAAACAAAATAGATATGGAGGGATCCTATTGGTGGAAGTGGGTGGTTGTAATGGACATAGGATGTAAGTAATAGACTAACTAACGACAAACCATGAGAGACCCTATTGTTAGTCCATCATTCACCCATTTCGTCTATAAAAACACCCATGTCATCCAATAGGATCGCTCCATACTCCCTATTTCTTCTTTATCTATAGCTTTGTCTATCAATTCCAACAATCAGCCTGCTGAAAAGGGGCAAGAATATAAGGGGTTACAGGGGCGGTTAGACTTTTGGATAATCCTATTGTCTCTAGAACGGAGTGTGTGTGGATTTCCGAGTGGGTCGCAGTAGCGAGATGGACCGTGGATCGCGGAATGGATGCGCGATGGAATGGCGTAACAGTGCGGAAAATTGAATAAGTAGCGTGAGAAACATTCGCACGCTCCATCACTCAATTAGCCGAGATTGATTTCGCGATAAACGCCTCGCGGCTCATTTCCTGCAGCCGACTCCTCAGTTTCGCACTCCACCGAAATTCCACCATTTTTATGGAGCCGGCTGGAAATTCAAATTCTAATGAAAGTAAGGCGTCCGACCAGTTGCTCAATACGTGAAGAAACCAATCAGTCGAAATTGCGAGCACAAGATGTTTTAATCTTAATTTGTGACCGATAGACCAATCGATTGGGGGCTCACTCGTACTGTAACCCAGTTCTGAAAAGTTTTCGTCATGTGGATCTGCAGACTTTCACCATCGGTTCAATCAATCGATAGTTTCAAAATTTCAAGACATTTTATCGAAATTGTTCAAGCTTGAATCACTCTGCAATACTTTCTCAATCTTCGGGACAACTTTTCGTACACAACTTTTCGTTTACAACTTTTCGCAGATCAATCCAACTGATGGGTCGCTAATTTTGCCGAAAGTTTTACTTGAAACGATTCCTCGTTCATTTGGAACACCCAATAAGTCACATTTTCCCAATGTCGCACACGGAAAAAATGTGACTCAGTGAGAAAAGGCACCGTACTGTAAATTTTAAATTAAGAGCGGTTCCTGCAAAGTTCGGACGGAAAATAGGAATTTGAATGTTTGACAAGAAATACTCGTTAAAATCTCAAAAAGTAAGTAGCGAGCACTTTGAATAATTTTTTATCCAATAGAGGTTACATAGTTCCATGTTCGACCGACAACTTCAAGCCCTTTCTTCCATGAAATTCAATTTTACTGAATTTTAATCACTATTTTCATGTTCAAAATATGTTCTCCCGCCTCAGAATTATTGACAGGAGAAATGTTACCTCCAGTTAAATAATTTAGAACTATACCCACTCCAGATTTTGCCTAAATATGACCTACTGCGTTTCTCTTCGACTCGGTCCAGTGAAGGTGCTGAGTAAAGACTGATTTATTTCCCATTTTAAAAATCAGACAGCACCAAGCTTACAAAAATGTTATAATAGTCTTTTTATTATCTGCAAGCATAGTCTTGAAACGGGCTGTAGATCCGACAAATTGAAACCCCGCGAACGCGAGCTATAATTACGTGCGCTATTAAGGTGCGAAACGTTTCGTTTTGATAACAGATTTAACGGGTAATTAATTTAACAACTTTTTTGCCCATCAGAGCAGAACCTCCTGTCGTAACCGGGACGGGTTCCATGCTTTACGGCCGCGGGGTAGGCATCGCGACGGGACGTGCCCATGAGTCTCGACCTATCTTCCCAGATTCAAAACACCGTTCTCGCGTCACGTAACATCAGATAGAAAGTTCAGATACTCGATCCGTTAATCTACGGTAATTTGCCACGGAAAAAGGGATTTTACCCAATCAATCAATATTTTATCCGAGCCGATACCTCAGCAATCGCTCATTCGACTACGGCATTCGATATCTTTACATAATTCTTTGCCTCGCTCCCCGCTGTTCTCCTTTGAGTCTCTGATCTGTGCAACGAAAAGAATTATTATAGACACGCTATTAAGGTGATTCGATGGCCACCATATTTTGTGTCAGATCGACATGCTATGTATAGCATCGATTGTCAGCTACTTGTCATTTTTATCGATTTTTGATATCGCATTTTTGTTGTCATAAGACTAAAGAATTTACTTACCAAATTTGACAAACAAATTTAAAGTAATCAAGGCAGGAATGCGATCTCAAAAGTCGTTAAAAATTACAAGTTGCTGAAAACATGGAACTAATCGATGCGATGTATTGCATGTTGTTCTGACACAAAATATGGTGGCCATCAAATCACCTTAAGGCTACACTTTAGGAAAGCTCTGTGTATCGTTATTGTAACTGATAGCGTTGACGTAGAAACATGGGTCATGCCATCGTTCTTATTTGGATCAAATTTAATATGATGAATGATTTCAACTGAGCTGTCACGATTAATAGCAAGTGATATTAGTCACCAGCAGGGGAACTTTATTGATATTTTCCACAACAAGTTGCTCATCAACCGTCATCAGACGAAATTAGCGTCGACCTCCGAATTTAACTTTTGCCTCACTCGATTACTTTACTTTGTAGTGCGGGTTCTCTAAAATGTACCGTCTCCGATTGAATCAGTGAGAACGAAAACACACCAACTTGGTAACTCATAAATGATCAATTTTCACCAAAAAAAGTTAGTTTTCATAAAAGTCATTAGAGTCAACGCATCTGCTTCAATTTGGACCTTTTAACTGTCCTTAAGTACTTGCCTTGCGGCACCTAAAATATTTTTCTTGTGCTAACTTCTTCAACTACTGTGCAGTTCCGCGTGTGTCTTGATTATTTCCATTTTTTCGCGTTGGTGTGTTTCCGTTCTCACTGATTCGATTGTGCGCGAGCGTGAAGTGCGTGCTTGTTGCCTAGAGGCTCAGGCGCAGGCGCACACTGGAGGTGAACGAACGTGGAATCGGGTTTTAATTACTTCATTTACGACGCGGGCGCGAACGCGAGTGGTGATGCTTGACCGCGAGGCCCGGCGCGGGGGCCCAACCCAAGCACCTGAACCAGTTCTGCTGTCTCTGTGCCAGTGTGTTACTGTCTCACCGCTCATCCTCCGGTCCGTTGCCACCGGTTCCGACCTTACGCAACCGGCAACCTTGACATTGAACCCAACGCTTTCGTTCCGACCCGTATGCGCCTTCGCCTCCTTTCCTCTCGTTTTCATCGACGGAAAAGTTGTCCTATACCCCAGTTGTCTCCCAGGCCTGTCATCAAAGCTTTTTAACCACTCATCACGATTCATTTTAATGCTGAAGAGAACACAATTTATTTGGTCACCCAACTTTTAGCTTCATTTAGCCAAAACGCATTCNGGGGGGGGGGGGGGTCTCATTTGAATTTTTTCTAACTTTGTAAATTTGATAATTATAATGGCCATATAGACAAGAAATTATCCTCCATCGGTATCTTGAAAATGGTGCAAACTTTTATTTCTGGGACTCCAAAAGTTCAACTTTTGCCACTAGGTTGATGTTCAATGACGTGTTGCGCTTTTCGCCCCGCAAACTTAGCCGATGTTGGGGAGACTTGTTTGGCACGTCACCTAACTCGAAGTTCATTAGCCATCCAGTTTATATGGCAGCAACCAACTCAGGGGCTATGACTGTAATTGTCTTATAATTCTACAAGGAAATGTTAAATCCTCGGAGGGAAGATTTTCCACTTGTCAATAAGAGGTTAATCTGAGGGTATCTCCTTGTCTCTACAGCTATGGCGCACTAAAAGTTCTCTTTGATATTCAATGTCTTTGGTATCTAATTCATTTGATAACAAAACCCTCTAACTGTGCTATTCTTTCTGTTTGCGCAGGTTTTATCTGCCTTCGTGGCTTTGACTCAAGCCAGGCCAGAGGCCGGATACTCCTACAGTTCGCCCGGCGGGTCCGGCGGGTTCGGCGCCTCGGGGCCCTCCAGCAGTTACGGAGCCCCCTCAGGCGGAGGCGGAAGCTTCGGAGGCGGCCACGGGGGTGGCTCTTCCTTCGGGGGTGGCCACGGAGGTGGTTCCTCCTTCGGAGGCTCTTCCTTTGGAGGTTCCTCCTCCTTCGGCGGCGGTTCCTCCTTCGGCGGCGGTTCCTCCTACGCGGGCGGCAGCTACAACCAAGCTCCCTCCGTCCAGAAGCACATCTACGTCCACGTCCCGCCCCCAGAGCCCGAGTATGCAGCCCCCTCCAGGCCGCAGTACCAGCCACCCGCGCCCCAGAAGCACTACAAGATAATCTTCATTAAGGCACCCACGCCACCCACTCCCACCGCCCCCGTCATCCCCCAGATCTCGCAAGACTCCGAGAAGACCCTCATCTACGTCCTCGTCAAGAGGCCCGAAGAACAGCCAGAGATCTCCATTCCCACTGTCGCTCCCACTCAACCATCCAAACCCGAGGTCTACTTCATCAGGTACAAGACACAGAAGGACGGAAGCGGCGGATCTTTCGGCGGTGCTGGAGGTGTTGGAGGCGCGTCTTTCGGCGGTGACAGCGGAAGTTTCAGCGGCGGCAGTGGAGGTTTCAGCGGAAGCAGCGGCGGTTTCAGCGGGATCGGTGGCGGTATCGGCGGTGGCTCATCTAGCGGCGGTTTCAGCGGTGGCTCGAGCAGCGGTAGCACGGGTGCTTTCTTCGGCGGCTCCGGCGGTTCCCACGGTGGAAGCAGCGGCGGCTCATCTTTCGGTGGAAGCAGCGGCGGCTCATCTTTCGGTGGATCTCATGGCGGTAGCTCTTTCGGCGGAAGCCACGGCGGCAGCGGCCCCTCGGGACCCTCCTCGTCGTACGGAGTCCCCAGCGCCGGCGCCGGTGGCTCAGGAGGCTACTAGACTCTCAACTCTGTTAGGAATTATCAAATTTCTCTTCCTATTCTCGCAGTGCCTCCTCCTCGGAGGCGCCATTACCATGCCCGGCCAGGGCAAAACTTAGTGATTTATTTTTAATGAATTTTGTAATATATTTGTACTTGTAAATACTTCGCGCAGCATAAGAAAACTTCGCAGTGGCAATAAACGTACCTTATTTTTATTTTTTTATAAATCTCATGTTTTTCTTTTAATTTTCTCATGCTAGCACAGCATCGACAACCCTTGGGGTCTAGGGTTTCATTGGGTAAGTAAAGAAAGTAAATTCTTTTTTTATTTAGAATTAACTGCTGTAACTTATAGAACATGAATACTAATAGTATAGCGCTAACGGTAAGTCACAGTTTTCCCCTCTAGAAATTAGTTTCACAGATTACCAAACCGATTTTTTCCATCTAGTATTAGAAAAACTATTAATGAGCTTTTAAAATATGATTTTAAATATTTGATAGATAGAAAGATCTACTTGCAAGACTTTACATTTCTATGAAACTATAATTACTTTCGCTAGCTGCTCGAAACGTTCTCTTTCACCATGTTATTTTCAAAAACGAGTCAAGATTTTTATTTTAGACCTTCAGTAAATATGTCAAAAGTAGCGAAAATATATACACTGAGAAAAAGTAGGTAGTTTAAAACGGTCGTTTTCACTTCATCAAAATAAAATACGACTGAAATCATTTTTTAATTCCGTCAATTGCGAATATTTGCGATGCAGAGTCATAGTATCAACATTCATGCGTGGGCATGAGCTCTATTCTTCTTAGAGGCAAACTCCCCTTGACAAAAAAAATAACCACTGATACTGCAATGAGCAGAAATATCGGTCATAAGTGCCTCCAGGACGCAAAAACACGATACCAAACCTGTCTAGGCGCCAGCTTTCTGCTTTTAATTGTGTGTAGCGTTGCGCTACTTTACCGCCTGAATTGTAAAGAAAGAAAAATATCGCCACAGTCATCAGAGCAAAATCAGCGGATCTCATGCACAATGCAGTGCAAGCCTCACTTACTCGCTCCTTATCAGTACCGGGGTCACTCGGACAATGTGCAAAAACGAGGCAATTTTCCTCGCATCCTCGCAAATTAGGAGTCGCAAACAAATCATCAACTGGGAAGTGCAACGTATCCTATTGCATAAACGTGACGTCACAGTGTGAGAGGTCAGACTCGCCAACGCCGCGCTGCCAACTCGCGACGAAAATCATCGCATTTCTTTTTTACGGAGGGGATTTATCCACAGCCCACGGGTCAACTCGGCGGTCTGCGGTGCACGAATGCGCGGTGCTAGACGACTTGAATGCAGCCAGCAGATGCAACTTGCCTTGTTGCGGTCCATGCCCGTTTTCATTACTTTCACGGTTTAAAAAGTAATTATTGGTCGGGAGTCCGGCAACAGTGCTGGTCTGGTAAACGAGAGCTTTTGTCCGGCCAGTCGTTAGTGGGTCAAACGCAGCGAGTCTGTCGAAGTTCAATGGGATTCCGCATTTATGAATGGCTAATTGGGATTTTTTCCCCCGTGAAAAGAGGCACAATAGTTTCTCCCGAAAACAGTACTTTCTCGTTCTGCGACTCGTGACGAAAGATGAGAGAGGAGCGAGATAGGTGCCCGAAGTCGCAGTTAAAATTCTATCTGAAAAAGTTGTCATGCTGCACGAAAATGAAGCGTTGGGTGAAGAAAGGGCATTTCTCGGTTGCGGCGTATCAGAATCTTTAGCGCTAATTTATATTTTTAAGCGGAAACTATATTGAGTGAGTATTCTGACATTTTACGTATTCATCAGTACACGGAGAAAAAAAACTCGTGCGTGGGACCCGAAGTTTAGGTCATATGGATCTCTGAAGTATTTAGATTGAGCATCTGAACACTTCAGGTCTAGCTGCCGAAGTTCGCATCATACATCTGAAACTTCAGTTCTTACATCTGAAGTACTTCGGTTCTCACATCCGAAGTACTTCGGCTCTCACATCCGAAGTACTTCGGTTCTCACATCTGAAGTACTTCAGATGTAAGAACTGAAGTTTCAGATGTATGATCCGAACTTCGGCAGCTAGACCTAAAGTGTTCAGATGCTCAATCTGAAAACTTCAGAGATCCATATGACCTAAACTTCGGGTCCCACGCACGAGTTTTTTTTCTCCGTGTATATCGTAAAATCACGAAGGATATTTAGTAAAAGTAACAAAGAATAACGTAAGTTTGCTTTAATCGTGATGGATGAAACGTTGGCGGAGATTTTGAGACACTGCAATTAAGAAATACCTTTTTAGCACCGATCGCTTCAAATTTCATCAAAAATCGTTGAATTTAAGCAGATTTGACGATAGTGACATAGATTGTGGAGTCGACTGGCTCCCAAAATTTGCTTATTCTGAGGAGATCTTGATCGTGGAGATCAAGCATTAGAGCCATGGGATTGAGCCTCTAGATTTCTTTATTAATCAATGTAACAAGTCAAAAGAAAACAAAAAACAAAAAACAAAAAAACTCCAAAATAAGTTGCCCAAGTTTTGAAAGCTCACTTGGATTCAAAGGAACTTTTATATCCAAACCGTGAGCATTAAAAAGAAGATCGTAAAAGAATACAACATGCTCCACGCACGGTCCTCATACGTTCAAATTCACACAAAACGAAGAAATGTAGGTAAAACGGTCATAAAAACTTTAATGCAGGCGGATGGCAATAAACTGTTAACTTTTCATTCGATTATCAATATTGTTCACTGACGTTACCATTCACGATCATCGCCTTGAACGTGAATGCAATCAACTAATTTGAGATAGTTTAATAGCTAGCTATGTGTGTGATAGAATTGTGGTGTTTCCTAGGTTGCCTGTTTTCCATGATTTTTTGAGTCACATGGAGAGGTCGGCTATGATACGATAACTTTGATAAAAGCGTATATCTTCGTTATTCCGAATTGTAGAAGTTTAAAAAAGGGTTTATTGGTTTTCTAGTAAGATTTCCTTCAAAGGCACACCTAAATAGGTAATTAAAATGTGACGAAATGAACCAAATTTTACACCAAGGAACTATTATTTCAAACTCTTTACAGAGACAGCATATCGGCCTTTAGAAAAGATAGCCGATGTTGTGTAAGAGCTAGAAACATGAGTTCCTCATCGCAAAATGTAGACCGAAAGAACATCAACATTTTCAGTTTTCTCAGAAAAAAATGTTATCCGACCTTCAGGAACAATTTCTTTTAAACTTATTATAAAAACAGCATATCTGCAGTTAGAATCCCCTTACAGATAGGCGATTTTGTGAAAAAGCTTCAGAAACATGAAGTCCTCGTCGCAAAATGTAGACCGATTAAACATCAACATTTTCAGTTTTCGTCAAAAAAAATGTTATCCGACCTCTATAGGACCTATTTTTTTTAAACTCATCGTGGAAATAGAATATCTGCCATTAGAATCCCCTTACAGGCAGGCGATTTTGTGTAAGAGCAAAAATATTAGTTTTTCATCTAAAAATGGAGACCAAATAACCATGAACATTTTCAGTTTTAGTCAAAAAATTCGACCTCCTTCCCAAAGCTCGCTCCACTGTACGTCGGTGCCTTAGAGTCTTTTTATGCAAAAAACAACCTCACTCGCTTTACGAGAGCCAGGAATATTATAGTTTCTCATTGCAGAATATAGACCGAAAACTCATCAAAATTTTCAGTTTCTGACAAAAAAATAAGATCCGACCTCCCCAACATTCGCTCCACTGTACGTCGGACCCTTAGAGCCTTTCTGCACAAAAAACCACCTCACTCGCTTTACGAGAGCCAGGAATATTAGTTTCTCATTGCAGAATATACACCGAAAACCCATCAAAATTTTCAGTTTCCGTCAAAAAAATAAGATCCGACCTCCTTCCCATAACGCCCGCTCCACTGTACGTCGGAGCCTTGGAGCCTTTTTCTGCAAAAAACAACCTCACCCGCTTTACTGGAGGGGGGGCAGGAGGTGGTTACGCAAGCGGGTGCTTAGCCGGTAACAGTACAAGGCATGAACAGTGAAAGTGTTCCCGAGCCGGAGGAGGGCAGGGGTCAGCCAGGAGCCACGGCGCACTANAGAAATAGCCACTTCACGGGTCAGAAAATACGTATCCGACAATTTGCACAGTTTGTGACACTTTCAAAGTGACTAGAAATTTTTTTGAGGTATACTACGTGTAGTTTATGACCCGTAGATACTATATTTATCAATTTTGACTTGAAAAAAAAATGTCGTCCAATTTCATAAATATCGATTTTTGAGCGCTCCCGAGCGGATTGGGACCATAGTGCGGCGGAAGTTCACACAAACGCCGGTCCCGGCGCCGGCGCATCCACGGCCCGGCCGGCCACACGATACCGCCGTCCTACGCAAGACAGCCGTAAGTCCACCTCCACCTGAGCCGCGCTCCGCACATACTGTCGTGCGCTGCCCGGCTCACGGCGACAAATATTTACGCCTTAGGAAAGGAGGATAGACAACCCGCTCTCCTCTTTCCGCCCCCGCGCACGGCAGTCGGGAGCCGCTAATCAGCGGCGACTGACAACTGAGATTAGTGGCTCATCACCTGAGCTTCTTCAGCCATGTTTGTAACGAAGTATCGTTGAGCGGTGCAATTAGACCGGCGCTCCAGGGATTGCCCGCCTCCTCTGAGCTACTTTACATGCTTTGCCCTTAATAAGCCGCATCAGGACTCCTGGCTGTTCCTTCCTCCTCACCGGGAACTGTGTGCTGAAGACACCGCTGCCTTCACTTCTGATCCAAGGGATGTAATCAGATGGGTATAAGGTAAGTTTATTCGCTTAATGGTATTCATAGAGTACATAGAGTCGTGATGTAGATGGGAGAGCTGGCGCCATGTTCTGGTCGACGAGTTCCGAGCCCGGTGTGCGCCGAGCTTCGGTCACTTTTTCGATACATTTTCGATTCGAAATGGCGATGTAGAATACGTAGTAAGTACTATCATCTTTTTTTAAATCAGCTGGCCGGGTATCCATGTATTGAAAACAATCGATTATGTATCGAAAAAGTGACCCGGCGTGACACAAGAGTCTCGTTGTTCGGGACCTGAAAAATGCTTTA